AGAACATCTGTTCTCAGCATCCACATGGATTCAGGGAGAAGCAGAGGAAGAAAGTAATGGAGAAAACAAGCCAGTTAATCTAACTGAGCTGTGTTTGCATGGGGTGGTGTCAGTGCTTTATCTAGAAAGCTATGAATTTCCAGAACATCACCTTTTAAAATCACACTTTTAAAATTTTATTTATTTATTTTGAGAGAGAGAGAGAAAGAACCTGTGCAATCTGGGGAAGGGCACAGAGAGAGGCAAAGAGAGAATCCAAAGCAGGCTCTGCACTGTCATCACAGAGCCCAACACAGGACTCAATCCCACCACTCTGGGATCATGACACAAGCCAAAATCAAGAGTCAGTCACTCAACCAACTGAGCCACTCAGGTGCCCCTCAAATCACATTTTGAATGGATTCTGTTTTTTAGATTTTCCATTTTGTCCATCTCTTACATGAGCAATATTGTCCGTGATCTTATGAATTTGAATAATTAAAAAAGAATGCACATCTGACATAAGTGTCAGTGGCTTTTCCAAGTGAATTTTCTAATTGGAACTACTAAAATTAAATTCTTTGCCACTTAATTAAGCTATTTAGTTGGTTCCTTCAAAAGACTTATCACGCTCTAGAAATTGTGTGGTATCAATTAATTTTAGAATCTTTGACTAGAAAATTATTTGCCAACCCTGGGTTTGTCTTGGGCTGGGTAAGTTTAAGTTCTTTTCCAGTTTTCAAAAGTATACAAGTCTGAGAAAGGGACGCCTGAGTGGCTTAGCTGGGTAAGCGTCTAGCTCTTGATTTCAGCTCAGGTCATAATCTCATGGTTCCTGAGTTCAAGCCCCATGTCGACTCTTTGCTGTCAGCACAGAGCCCACTTCACATCCTCTGTTCCATTGTCTTTCTGCCTATCCCCCACTTGTGCGCATTCTCTCTCTCTCAAAAATAAATAAACATTAAAAAAAAATAAATAAAAGTCTGAATATAAATATACAGATCATCAGACTCTATAGGTTTAAGAAAGCAATTAATTCTGATTTCTAGCTATGATAGTCCAAAAGACAAAACACAAACAAACAAAGTTATCAGATTCTGTTTTCCTCCAGTCTCAAATTATCATTAATTTGGCCCTCCTTTTTTGTAATAGAAAATGAAGCCAGAAAATTGGTAAAAGTATAACAGGTAATAGTGGTAATGGGTTGGCCATAGCTTATGATACTATAAGCCAGGGAGTTTCTGGTATGCTTTTTACATATTTTTGAGAAAAAATAATAAACTCAAAAATAATATATAAATTTGAATAATTTAAAATAAATATTAAGTCAAATAATAAAGTCAAAACTTTAGACTGAATAAGTACATAGCTAAACATAATTTTATTAATAAAAATATGGGATAAAGATAATCAGAAGATGTAATTCAAGATATTAAAATATGCAATAAGACTACAACCTTGAAGAAAGATGAAGTAACAAATGTTTTTAAAGGCAAAATTATGAATTGAAAAGAAAAATTTAGATGATAATATATTCAATAAATACATATATCAATAAATTAGACATCTGCTAAGTTAAATCAAGGAAAAGAAAATACATAAAAAATATCAAAATGAAAAAGTAGCTAGAAGAAATAAGAGAATATGAATATAAAATTGTCATGCTCCATTGTATGATAATAAATTGGAAAACTTCAATGAGATGGCTGACTTTGGAAAACACAAATGACCCAAATTTACTCATGAAGTAAAAAATTTGAGTACATCAATAAATGAGGAAGAAGCTCTTAAATATATGTTAAAAATTATTTCCAAGAATGTCTCCAAAGCTAGACAATTTACCAGGGAGTTCTTAAAAAGGAAGAGATAATCACAATGTTACAAAAATGGTTTCTATTTTCTTATACAAAGTATCATTAAAACCAAACTTTTCATTTTAATACGTGTATCTCTACTTCAAAAACTTAGAAAAATAGCTCCATAATAGAAAACTATCATTAAATTTCAATTATCAATAAAGATAAAAAATCCTAATTATAATGTGAGTGGCCCAGATTGAGCAATGCATTGAACGAATGGTCCACCAGTCCATTTGAGAGTCACTGTAGTGAGAGCCTATGAACATGAGCCCCAGAATTTAGACTGCCTGCCCACGTACAAGGTGTGGGACTCAAGTAGGGACCTTTACTCTTTGTGTTTCAGGTCCCTCATCCACATAATGCAACTAATAATCAGGCCTACCTCTCGGATTTCGACAGGATTAAGTAAAGTAACATGATAGAAAGCATTCATCACAATTTCTGGCACATAATAAGCCTTAAATAAATACTACTTATTATCATCAAAATTCCAGAAATGCAGACATTGTATTATATTAGGAAATATCTGAATATAATACACACCAACAATGTGTCAAAAACTTTTTAACAGAATATGTTTAAAAAAAAAAAGATACTTGATAAAAGTCAACAATCATCCTTGATTATTTATCATTTAAATATTAGGGGGAAATACCCCCACTTCATTAACATAGTAAAAATACTTAACCTCTCAGGAAACATTGCACTTAACAGTTCAATAGTTGAACATAAGATTTGATTTAGCCATAAGATATTATTTAACATGGTAAAAATATGTAACATTTTTACTATTGAAAAAAGAGAAATATGGGGGTTTTTTTTTACACAAGAAATTGTTATCTCCTGGGAAGGTAAGAATGGATGACTGAGGAACAAGGAAAGGGGGCTGAGATGCATTTAGAATATAAATGAATATATAACGAGATACATTTAGAATATAAAATGAATATGCAAAATGGAGAACTCTCCAGAATACAAAAAGGAACCATCTAGAAAAGAGAACGTGAGAAAAGGAAGAGTCCACTCACCTCTGGGAATAATAAACCAAACATATCTAAATAACCCTAGCAAGAAATAGGCTGTCCCTATACTAAAACAATCAAATAAGCAAACTAAATAAAATCACAAAACATTGATGAGAGACATAGAGTATTTGGCTAAATGGAAAAATACCATATTCCTAGAAAACAGTATTTTGAAAAGATCTGTGTTTCCAAATCAACTTACATACCAATAAAATCATAATTTGATTTTGGAGGGAAGAGAATACAACGGTTCTTGTGTTTAATTAGACTAATAAACAAATGAGTAGCCTTTTCCTTTTTTTCTGTTAAACAAGGAATAATTAGGAAAGAACAACAGATATTATAACATATAAATGTACATTAATTAAATATGTTACTACTAACAGAGAATAGCAATACTGATCCATGAAACACCTTAGAACCAAACCCTGTTCTTTATAAAGTATTGATAAGTGATGAAAGAAACATCAAAAATAAATGGAAGGAGTAATTAATTATTCCATAAATAATACTGAAAACTTTGTGAGCTACTTAGAAAAAGAATTCTTAGTCCTTAGAGCATATCTAATCTCACATTGATTTGAAGTTACATGCAAAAAATTGAACAACAAAATGGTATTTGTCTCCTCAGTAGGTAGGACCAAAGCACTAAAATGGTGAAAAAGCAATAAAAGAAATCTGCTCAAAATGGGATGTTTCATACAATTACATATGTAAAAAATTAAAACTTACCCACATCAGACCAAAAATTAAAAAGTAAACAAAAAACTGGGGAAGTATTTATAACAAATATAAAAATTCAATATCCTAACAATATAAAGAGTTCTCAGAGATCAACATAGAGCATTATAAATGATCTAAAAAACAAATGATTAGGAGACATTAAGAGGCAAGCAGGAAATGCATCAACAAAGTAAAATACAGATTACTAATAAGCATGCAAAAAATATTCTAACAGTAACAAAGAAATGACTATTAAAATAAGTCATATTTGCCTATACATTAATAAAGATTTTTAAAAGATCGAAATAAGTTTGGGGAACCAGGGTGGCTCAGTCAGTTAAGCATTCAACCCCATTTCAGCTCAGGTCATGATCTCACGGTTCTTGAGACTGAGCCCCATATCAGGCTCTGCACTGACAGCACAGAGCCTGCTTGGGAGTCTCTCTCTCCCTTTCTGTTTCCCCCTTCCCTGCTACCACATGTTCTCTCTCTCTCTCAAAATAAATAAATACACATTTTTCTAAAAATAAAAGATTAAGGGGTGCATGAGTGGCTGAGTCAGTGAAGTGTCTGACTTTCAGCTCAGGTCATGACCTCATAGTTTGTGAGTTCAAGCCCCACACTGGGGTCCACAGGGAGCAGTGTGGAGCCTGCTTGGGATTCTCATTCTCTCTCTCTCTTTCTCCTTCTCTCTACCTCTCCCCAAATTGCTCTCTCTTTCTCAAAGTAAATAAATAAAGTTAAAAAAACAAATAAAAGTTTAAAATAAGTTCTGGTAAAGACTTGAACAGTCATTCTCACATACAGCAGGAAGACATATGAATTGTTTTAAGCTTTCTGAGTAGCAGTTTGGCAATATGTATCAAGAAGTAATAAAATAATTTATATCCTTCAATCAGTTTTTCCACTTTTAGGGGTTTCTTTCAAGGGATTAACCAGAAAGGCAGGCAGAGTTTTATTCACGAGTTTTCATTGCAGCACTGTCCATAGCAGGAAAAAAAAACTCCTTAAATTTCTAACAATAGAGACATGGTTATGTAAATTATGTGGAGCGTATTATAGAATATTGTTCAGGCATAAAAATGTTTTAGAAGGATCTGTGATGGCGTGGTCAAAAACATTCAGTATGCCCTCAGTTATATTTTAAAAACTGAGTTGTGAATAGAAAAATACACTGTATAAAAATACTCTACAATGTTATTAGAGGTTACTATTCAAATGTGGGATGGTAATGAATTTTATTTTGTTTCCTAATATTTTCTAACTTATCTACAATGAGCATATTGTTACTCCATACTTACAGAAAATATGAAATCTTTCTTTAAAAGAAGAACTTAGGTAACCCTCCTGCAATGATGTGGGGTTTTGTCTGTTTGCTTGTTTAATCAGAGAAGTCTTTTTGAATAATGCTCACCCACAGCCTCTGCAATCATGAAGACGAAGCATATTCCCGAAGCAGCACAGAGTTTCCACTTGGCGTAGACTTGCTCATTTGCTCTGTTCTCTGTGGCCTTGGAGCTGCCGTGGCAGTGATAGATGGCTCCCGAATCCAGCTCCTCTGGCTTCTCTCCAGGACATTGATTTTTATTCAAGGTTTTCTGCTGGAGTTCCACACTATGGATGAGTTTGACAGAAGCAAGAAGTGAACATGGTTGCAGACAAATACCTCACTGACAGCCCTACCCATTCTCAGAACTGATAGAAGGACATTTGCTAACTAGGTAGGAAGTTACAGATCACGGCTCCTTCTACAAGAAATATCAAGTGTAAGGAACAAGCAAGACATTTCCTTCTGAAGTCTCAACCACCAAAGGTTTTGCTTTTTTATTCAGCAAGGCTATACCAGTAGAGATGTTAAAAGAACAGAAGAAAGGGAGCAGATACATTTTGATGCATTGCCTTACAAATTACTCCACTTTGGAAAGAATATGGACGCTGTTTTACAAATGTTAAAAAGGGGGGGTGTGAAGAGCAATGTTAGATTGTGCGAATGAGCCAGCCTGATGATTCAAATACTCACTATCACATGCCAAAACTCTTCCTTTCTTCTCCACACTGTCCTTCTGAGTCCATGTGGACCCCCAGAATCCTTAACACAGCTTTGCAGACACTCTCTACCAATCTATCAAATTTGTATTGGGAGTTGAACCTACTTAGACTTTCTTTTTTTTTCCATTCTTTTCTTTTTTATCTAGATTCCAGTTAGTTAACACAGTACTATATTAATTTCAGGTATACAATAAACTGATTCAACACTTCTATACAACACCCAGTGCTCATCACCACAAATACAGTTCTTAATCCCCATCACCTTTTTAACCCATACCCCCACCCACTTCTCCTCTGTTGACCATCAGTTTGTTCCCTACAGTTGTCTGTTTCTTGTTTTGCTTCTCTCTCTTTTCTTCCAGTTGCTCATTTGTTTAATTCCAAATATGAGTGAAATCATATGCTATTTGCCTTTCTTTGACTGACTGACTTTGCTCATCATAATACTCTCTAGCTCCATCCATTGTATGTATATGTATATATACATTTTCTTTATCCATTCATCAGTTGACGGACATTTGGGTTGTTTCCATAATTTGGCTATATTTGATAATGCTGCTATAAAAATTGGGGTGCATGTATCCCTTGAATTTGATATTTTTGTATCCCTTGGGTAAATACCTAGTAGTGTAATTACTGAATCATATGGTAGTTCTATTTTTAACTTTCTGAGGAACCTCCATATATTTTCCATAGTGACTACACCAGTTTGAATTCCCACCAACATTGCAAGAAGGTTCTTTTTTCTCCACATCCTCACCAACACCTGTTATTTATTTTATTGTTGATTTTAGCCATTCTTACAGGTGTGAGGTGATATCTCATTGTAGTTTTGATTTGCATTCCCTTGACGATCAGCCATGTTGAGCATCTTTTCAAACCATGAGAGACTCTTGAATGCTGAGAACAAACTGAGGATTGATGGGTTTGGGGGGGAAGGGGGAAATGGGCATGGAGGAGGGCACTTGTGGGGATGAGCACTGGGTGTTATATGGAAACCAACTTGACACTAAACTATTTGTAAAATAAATAATAAATAATAAATAAATAAACTTAAAAAGAAAAAAATTAAAAAGAAAAATATTTCACTAAAAAAAGAATATGCAACGGGAAAAAGACAGTCTCTTCAACAAATGGTGTCGGGAAAAATGGGCAGCAACATACAAAAGAATGAAACTGGAGCACTTTCTTACACCACACAAAAAATAGATTAAAAAAACAAAACTAAATGTGAAAACTGAAGCCATAAAAATTGTAGAGGAGAGCACAGGCAGGAACCTCTTTGGCATCAGCTATGGCAACTTCTTACTAGATATGTCTTTATATTCTGAGGCAAGAGAAACAAAATCAAAAATAAACCATTGGGACTTCATCAAAATAACATCTGTACAGTGATGGAAACAATCAACAAAAATAAAAGGCAACCCTTGTAATGGTAGAAGATATTTGCAAATTATGTATCTGATAAATGGTTAGTATTCAAAATATATAAAGAAATGATCCTATTCAACTACCTCAGCAATGAATAATCCAACTAAAAATGGTCAGAAGACCTGAATAGACATTTTTCCAAAGAAGACACCAAGATGGACAACAGACACATGAACCTACTTAGATTCCTAAAGCAGGCAGTATATATCAGTTCTTCTTGAATATAAAGCATTATTTACAGCCTGGAAGAGAATTCTAGAACTTCATAGATGGAAAGATTATAGATACCATTTAGTCAATCCCATAGTTTCTTTTTTTAAAATTATGATTTATTGTCAAATTGGCTAACATACCATGTGTAAAGTGTGCTCTTGGTGTACACTCTTGGTAGATTCCCATGGTTCATAGCTCTCATACAACACCCAGTGCTCATCCCAACAAGTGCCCTCCTCAATGCCCATCACCCATTTTCCCCTCTCCCCCACGTCCCCATCCACCCTCAGTTTCTTCTCTGTATTCAAGAATCCTCTATGGTTTGCTTCCCTCACTCTCTGTTTGTAACTGTTTTCCCCTTCTCTTCCCCCATGGTCTTCTGTTAAGTTTCTTAAGATCCACATATGAGTGAAAACATGCAAATCTGTCCTTCTCTGACTGACTTATTTCACTCAGCACAATACCTCCCAGTTCTGTGCAAGTCACTACAAATGTCATGATTTCATTCTTTCTCATTGCAAATTAGTATTCCATTGTATATATAAACCACATCTTCTTTATTGATTCATCAGTTGATGGACATTTAGGCTTTTTCCTAAATTGGCTATTTTTTTTTTTTTTTTACAAATAGTTTATTGTCAAATTAGTTTCCACATAACACTCAGTGCTCATCCCCAAAGTGCCCTCCTTCATGCCCATCCCCCCCTCCCCCCCACATCCATCAGTCCTCAGTTTTTGTCAGCATTCAAGAGTCTCTCATGGTTTGCCTCTCTCCCTTTCCCCCACCATTTCCGCCCTTCTTCTCCCCCTTGTTCCTCCGTCAAGTTCCTCCTAATCCTCCTATACGTGCAAACATATGATATTTGTCCTTCTCTGCCTGACTTATTTCGCTCAGCATAACACCCTCAAGGTCCATCCATGTTGCTACACATGGCCAGATTTCATTGTTTCTCATTGCCATGTAGTATTCCATGGTATAGATAAACCACATCTTCTTGACTAAATTGGCTATTGTTGAAAGCGCTGCTATAAACATTGAGGTACATATGCCCCTATGCATCAGCACTCCTGTATCCCTTGGATAAATTCCTAGTAGTGCTATTTCTGGGTGGTAGGGTAGTTCTATTTGTAATTTTTTGAGGAACCTCCACACTGTTTTCCAGGGCAGCTGCATCAGTTTGCATTCCCAATAACAGTGCAAGAGGGTGCCCGTTTCTCCACATCCTCACCAGCATCTATAGTCTCCCGAATTGTCCATTTTAGCCACTCTGACTGGTGTGAGGTGATATCTCAGTGTGGTTTTGATTTGTGGTTTCTTAGCTGCAGTAATTAAGGTTCAGACAGGTTAAATGCCTGAGGTCAAATAACCAGCAAACAGCAGAACTGGGATTCTGATGATGTTAATAGCACTCAGGATTTTAAACAGTTCCAAATAATCTCCTTTGTTAGAATAGGAACCATTTGGCAATAGGTACATAGAATATTTATATCTATAAATCTTTGCCTTCATAAAATGATACATACCCTGATAATAAAAACAACATATGTAGCAGTGTGGGTCACCTGTGGCCATCAACTCAGAGGAGCACGAGAACTAAAAAGGAAGGGTGATAGAGGTTTCCTTTCCTTTGTGCTGAGAAGACAACATAACCAAGACAGGGTCACCAATTGTTCTGACACTGTTCATGTGACCACTGATTTGCTGAGCCATATGAAGCTTTGCTTTACTTTAAACTTTTCATGAATCTTGTGGCCAGAGAAAACCAGGTGGTGACCAGGAGACGGAGCTTATTCTGAAGCAGTGCAGAAGGTAGGCCAAGGCACTAGGGGCGCAGCCTCTGGGAAATGCTCAAGAAGAAGACTACAAGCAACCTGGCCAATTTCTACTTTTAAACCCTGCTTTGTTGTCCTAGACTCTGAGATAAACCAATATGGGTTTACTCTGAACTGAGATTGCTCCTTGAAGTACTAAGCAGGAGATCCAAAGGTGGGCTTTAGAGGGTCCATTGAAATTGGATATAGTGTGTTCATATGTGTGTCTGTGTGTGTTTTATGGCGGGGGGGGGGGTGGTGATGCAAAGTTCCAGTCTTCTCTGGGCTCCTAGAAGGGTCCTTAATCCTCCCCAAACTTGAAAGCCAAAATTAAAATACATTTCTCATCACTTCATTAGAGCAAAGTGGTCAGGGTACCTATAGATGCAAAATAGGCTCTTGATCTAAAAATGGTGTGAAACCTAAGATGAATTTTAAGAAGGTCCTAAAAAGCAAATGCTATGATACATCAAAAAAGAAATTGTGAATAAATTATATAGATCCCCACAAATTCAAAGATAGTTGAAACTTAGAAGAATAGGAACAGTAGACCAGAGCAAAGAAATTTACTGTCGCATCGAAGAAAAAAGAAACGGGGGATGGGGGGGGAGGCGTGGAAGAAACAGGAGAAACAGAAATATTCCAAATGTTTCTCACAATAGCCTACAACTTTGAGTTCATTTCTTAAAATAATTAATTAGAAAATGGAGCTTTGTTTTATAATCTTGGGGAAGCTTCTCTTTTTCTTTTGTATTTTAATTTTACTTGATGGTAGAAGTTAAACCCCTTTGTTTTTATGTCTCCAAAATAGAGCTGGTAATACTTTTCAGCCTCTTGTTTCATATGTTGACTGCATAAAATTGCTTCCATTTTGTACTTTCACATCACTTCTCCCAAGATCCTCCAGTCACTGTGACTTAGAAGAGGAGATGAAAGCTTGGGTCCCACCATGCATTTCCCACACTTCACATATTCATTCGTTCAACAGGTATGTACTGCATGCCTGCACGGTCAGAGGTCCTAATGAACCATAGTCTTAGAGACTAAGCTCCTGACCTAAGAAGCTTATATCTTAGCAGAGGGACACAAACTGTACACCAGCCAATAGT